TGGTCGACCCGCCACATGCCCTTGCCCAGGTGTTACCTTCCCGGCCCCTCTCTCCCCCTCACCCGTTCGACTCGGTGGTCGACCCGCCACATGCCCTTCCCCAGGTGTTACCTTCCCGGCCCCTCTCTCCCCCTCACCCGTTCGACTCGGCGGTCGACCCGCCACATGCCCTTCCCCAGGTGTTACCTTCCCGGCCCCTCTCTCCCCCTCACCCGTTCGACTCGGTGGTCGACCCGCCACATGCCCTTCCCCAGGTGTTACCTTCCCGGCCCCTCTCTCCCCCTCACCCGTTCGACTCGGTGGTCGACCCGCCACATGCCCTTCCCCAGGTGTTACCTTCCCGGCCCCTCTCTCCCCCTCACCTGTTCGACTCGGCGGTCGACCCGCCACATGCCCTTCCCCAGGTGTTACCTTCCCGGCCCCTCTCTCCCCCTCACCCGTTCGACTCGGTGGTCGACCCGCCACATGCCCTTCCCCAGGTGTTACCTTCCCGGCCCCTCTCTCCCCCTCACCCGTTCGACTCGGTGGTCGACCCGCCACATGCCCTTCCCCAGGTGTTACCTTCCCGGCCCCTCTCTCCCCCTCACCCGTTCGACTCGGTGGTCGACCCGCCACATGCCCTTCCCCAGGTGTTACCTTCCCGGCCCCTCTCTCCCCCTCACCCGTTCGACTCGGCGGTCGACCCGCCACATGCCCTTCCCCAGTTGTTACCTTCCCGGCACCTCTCTCCCCCTCACCCGTTCGACTCGGTGGTCGACCCGCCACATGCCCTTCCCCAGGTGTTACCTTCCCGGCCCCTCTCTCCCCCTCACCCGTTCGACTCGGTGGTCGACCCGCCACATGCCCTTCCCCAGGTGTTACCTTCCCGGCCCCTCTCTCCCCCTCACCCGTTCGACTCGGTGGTCGACCCGCCACATGCCCTTCCCCAGGTGTTACCTTCCCGGCACCTCTCTCCCCCTCACCCGTTCGACTCGGTGGTCGACCCGCCACATGCCCTTCCCCAGGTGTTACCTTCCCGGCCCCTCTCTCCCCCTCACCCGTTCGACTCGGTGGTCGACCCGCCACATGCCCTTCCCCAGGTGTTACCTTCCCGGCCCCTCTCTCCCCCTCACCCGTTCGACTCGGTGGTCGACCCGCCACATGCCCTTCCCCAGGTGTTACCTTCCCGGCCCCTCTCTCCCCCTCACCCGTTCGACTCGGTGGTCGACCCGCCACATGCCCTTCCCCAGGTGTTACCTTCCCGGCCCCTCTCTCCCCCTCACCCGTTCGACTCGGTGGTCGACCCGCCACATGCCCTTCCCCAGGTGTTACCTTCCCGGCCCCTCTCTCCCCCTCACCCGTTCGACTCGGTGGTCGACCCGCCACATGCCCTTCCCCAGGTGTTACCTTCCCGGCCCCTCTCTCCCCCTCACCCGTTCGACTCGGTGGTCGACCCGCCACATGCCCTTCCCCAGGTGTTACCTTCCCGGCCCCTCTCTCCCCCTCACCCGTTCGACTCGGCGGTCGACCCGCCACATGCCCTTCCCCAGGTGTTACCTTCCCGGCCCCTCTCTCCCCCTCACCCGTTCGACTCGGTGGTCGACCCGCCACATGCCCTTCCCCAGGTGTTACCTTCCCGGCCCCTCTCTCCCCCTCACCCGTTCGACTCGGTGGTCGACCCGCCACATGCCCTTCCCCAGGTGTTACCTTCCCGGCACCTCTCTCCCCCTCACCCGTTCGACTCGGCGGTCGACCCGCCACATGCCCTTCCCCAGGTGTTACCTTCCCGGCCCCTCTCTCCCCCTCACCCGTTCGACTCGGTGGTCGACCCGCCACATGCCCTTCCCCAGGTGTTACCTTCCCGGCCCCTCTCTCCCCCTCACCCGTTCGACTCGGTGGTCGACCCGCCACATGCCCTTCCCCAGGTGTTACCTTCCCGGCACCTCTCTCCCCCTCACCCGTTCGACTCGGTGGTCGACCCGCCACATGCCCTTCCCCAGGTGTTACCTTCCCGGCCCCTCTCTCCCCCTCACCCGTTCGACTCGGTGGTCGACCCGCCACATGCCCTTCCCCAGGTGTTACCTTCCCGGCCCCTCTCTCCCCCTCACCCGTTCGACTCGGTGGTCGACCCGCCACATGCCCTTCCCCAGGTGTTACCTTCCCGGCCCCTCTCTCCCCCTCACCCGTTCGACTCGGTGGTCGACCCGCCACATGCCCTTCCCCAGGTGTTACCTTCCCGGCCCCTCTCTCCCCCTCACCCGTTCGACTCGGTGGTCGACCCGCCACATGCCCTTCCCCAGGTGTTACCTTCCCGGCCCCTCTCTCCCCCTCACCCGTTCGACTCGGTGGTCGACCCGCCACATGCCCTTCCCCAGGTGTTACCTTCCCGGCCCCTCTCTCCCCCTCACCCGTTCGACTCGGTGGTCGACCCGCCACATGCCCTTCCCCAGGTGTTACCTTCCCGGCCCCTCTCTCCCCCTCACCCGTTCGACTCGGTGGTCGACCCGCCACATGCCCTTCCCCAGGTGTTACCTTCCCGGCCCCTCTCCCCCTCACCCGTTCGACTCGGCGGTCGACCCGCCACATGCCCTTCCCCAGGTGTTACCTTCCCGGCCCCTCTCTCCCCCTCACCCGTTCGACTCGGTGGTCGACCCGCCACATGCCCTTCCCCAGGTGTTACCTTACCGGCCCCTCTCTCCCCCTCACCCGTTCGACTCGGTGGTCGACCCGCCACATGCCCTTCCCCAGGTGTTACCTTCCCGGCCCCTCTCTCCCCCTCACCCGTTCGACTCGGTGGTCGACCCGCCACATGCCCTTCCCCAGGTGTTACCTTCCCGGCCCCTCTCTCCCCCTCACCCGTTCGACTCGGTGGTCGACCCGCCACATGCCCTTCCCCAGGTGTTACCTTCCCGGCCCCTCTCTCCCCCTCACCCGTTCGACTCGGTGGTCGACCCGCCACATGCCCTTCCCCAGGTGTTACCTTCCCGGCCCCTCTCTCCCCCTCACCCGTTCGACTCGGTGGTCGACCCGCCACATGCCCTTCCCCAGGTGTTACCTTCCCGGCCCCTCTCTCCCCCTCACCCGTTCGACTCGGTGGTCGACCCGCCACATGCCCTTCCCCAGGTGTTACCTTCCCGGCCCCTCTCCCCCTCACCCGTTCGACTCGGCGGTCGACCCGCCACATGCCCTTCCCCAGGTGTTACCTTCCCGGCCCCTCTCTCCCCCTCACCCGTTCGACTCGGTGGTCGACCCGCCACATGCCCTTCCCCAGGTGTTACCTTACCGGCCCCTCTCTCCCCCTCACCCGTTCGACTCGGTGGTCGACCCGCCACATGCCCTTCCCCAGGTGTTACCTTCCCGGCCCCTCTCTCCCCCTCACCCGTTCGACTCGGTGGTCGACCCGCCACATGCCCTTCCCCAGGTGTTACCTTCCCGGCCCCTCTCTCCCCCTCACCCGTTCGACTCGGTGGTCGACCCGCCACATGCCCTTCCCCAGGTGTTACCTTCCCGGCCCCTCTCTCCCCCTCACCCGTTCGACTCGGTGGTCGACCCGCCACATGCCCTTCCCCAGGTGTTACCTTCCCGGCCCCTCTCTCCCCCTCACCCGTTCGACTCGGTGGTCGACCCGCCACATGCCCTTCCCCAGGTGTTACCTTCCCGGCCCCTCTCTCCCCCTCACCCGTTCGACTCGGTGGTCGACCCGCCACATGCCCTTCCCCAGGTGTTACCTTCCCGGCCCCTCTCTCCCTCTCACCCGTTCGACTCGGTGGTCGACCCGCCACATGCCCTTCCCCAGGTGTTACCTTCCCGGCCCCTCTCTCCCCCTCACCCGTTCGACTCGGTGGTCGACCCGCCACATGCCCTTCCCCAGGTGTTACCTTCCCGGCCCCTCTCTCCCCCTCACCCGTTCGACTCGGTGGTCGACCCGCCACATGCCCTTCCCCAGGTGTTACCTTCCCGGCCCCTCTCTCCCCCTCACCCGTTCGACTCGGCGGTCGACCCGCCAGATGCCCTTCCCCAGGTGTTACCTTCCCGGCCCCTCTCTCCGCCTCACCCGCTCACCTTGGTGGTCCACCTGCCACATGCCCTTGATGAGGAACCGTCTCGTCGTGTTCCATTTGGAAATGATGTAGTTGTTGTGAATCATAACCGGAGTCACCCAGGCCTTGACTCCCCCACGTGTTACCTCCCCAACTTGTTACCTTCCCCGGCCCTTCACACTCCTGCCCCTCACCTCGATGGTCGACCCGCCACATGCCCTTGATCAGAAACCGTCTCGTCTTGTTCCACTTGGAGATAATGTAGTTGTTGTGAATCATTACAGGCGTCACCCCTTCCTTCTGCGCCTTCCTCCGGTCCCAATAGTCCCGCCCGTTGATAAACAGCAGCGGATCCAGCCCCTGCAGCTGCACCGCATACCTCTTCTGCCTAAGTAAATCGTTTAAAAACTTCTGCTCGTGGTTGTGCTGCTGCGAGCGAAGGAACCGCCGATACTCGTCCGGATCCCTTTTCGAGGGATGCGTTTTAAGCCAGTCGATATGCTGCTCAAACATAGCCGTAAGCAGGTCCCATAAAACGATAAGCTTTCGGGTGTGCACCAGGAGTAAGAACCCCCCACACGGGTTTCCTTTCTCTTCTAGCTGGGCCAGCACGTCGATTCCCTGGGCTTTAAGGGAGGTGAAAGGGTCTGACAGCCATATAGCATCGGCATCGGCTAGCAGGACATTGTAACCCGCTTTAAGGATCTCCCCTACTGCTTTAGTGCGCGCGAGAATGAACTCTTTATAGGGTACACTGCCGTAGTCTAGAGCTGCTCGTCTCATGTCTACTGTTGCTGCTGCTGATGCTGTCGCTGTTGCCCCGCCTCCCCCTGCTGCTGCTGCTGCCGAATCATCCCCAACAGCAGTCTTATTGCCTGGGCCCATTCCATCCGCTCCTCCTGCTGCTGCTGATGTTGAATTGGCACCAGCGCTTGTGCCTGAAGCACCCCCCGCACCTACAGTGTCTGAACCAGCAGCAGCACCACCATCAGTAGCAGCAGCACCAGCAGCGACACCTGCTCCTTCCTGCCCTTTCCCACCCACACCCTCGCCTGCCCCTGGCTTGCTGCACCCAGCACAATACACTGCAAAGCCCCGCCGCTTCAGAGAGAACGCGTGAGCTGGGTCCTGTGTGATTATAAAGAAGTTGCGGATTTGAAGCTCCTGTAGGGGAGATGGGAGGAGAGGAGGAAGGGAGGGTACATGAAGATACTGTGATTATAACGAAGTTTCAGACTTGAAGCTCCTGTAGGGGGAGGTGGAACAATTGGGATGAGAGGGAAGCAAGCGCTGATAAGCAGAGAGCAAGAGGGCCAAGAAGGACAAAACATGGACAAAACATGGGGTCCCGACAACACCATCACCCCAGCTACCTCCGAGTGGCGAGCAATGCGCTCGCTCTGCTGTGCTCTGCTCCACTATCGCGTTGCTCTGAGAATCCAATGCAATACACGCACCTTGACGTAGCAGACCCAGTTGTTGAGCATGTCATTGTATCCCGGCGACACCATGACTCCAGCCACAGCAGAGTGCCACGCTATACGCTGCAGCATCCCTCTCAGCTCACGTGCACTCCATGCCACCACAGGGTGGGTGGCACGCAATGCAATGCACGCAATGCAATGCACGCAATGCAATGCACGCAATGCAATGCACGCAATGCAATGCACGCAATGCAATGCACGCAATGCAATGCACGCAATGCAATGCACGCAATGCAATGCACGCAATGCACGTAACACAGGACTACTCTTGCACACCCACCACGCACCTTGACGTAGCACACCCAGTTGTTGAGCATATCGTCATAGCCGGGTGAAACCATGACGCCAGCCACAGCAGAGTGCCGGGCTATGCGCTGCAGCAGCCCTCTCAGCTCGCCTGCACTCCAAGCCACCTCCCCCCGCGGCACCTCCCTCCCACAGTGATCCACCCGGGGCAGTGGGGCGAGGGATCGGGGGGACGTAGTGAGGTGGAGCGAGAGGGAGGAGGAGAGGCGGAGCGAGGAGGGGAGCGGGAGGAGGGTGGGGGTGGCGGTTGGGTAGGCGACGGGGGGTTGGGAGTCGATGGAGTAGCAGAGCCGTGTGGGGTTGTTGAGGTCCTGCAGGGGAAAAGGTTGCAATGGGTTTCATTGTGTGAAGAGTGGGATGGGATGGGATGAGAAACGGTGGAGGGATGGGCGTGGCGGTCGGGTAGGCGAGGGGGGGTTGGGAGTCGATTGAGTAGCAGAGCCGTGTGGGGTTGTTCAGGTCCTGTAGGGGTGGAAACATGGAAAGTATGAAAGGAGGATAGATTATGGGTGGAGATCAAGAGAGGGGAAGAGGATGGGATGATGAGCAGGTGGGGGATGGGGAAGTGGTTGGGTAGGCGAGAGGGGGTTGGGAATAGGTCGAGAAGCAGAGACGCATGGAAAGGCTTGTAGGGTGAGAAGGGTGGGAGGGAGGGGAGGATGGAAGCAAGGGTGGGATGATGGAGGATGGATGGGAGGGACCATTGCTGGGGGAAGGTGGGATGATGATAGGAGGAGGACATGGGGGGGGGAAGTGGGAAGAATGGACACACGCGTTTCTGAGGGACCAAAGATGCAGAGTGAGCTGAGAGCGTGAGTTGTCATGTCAGGGGGTCATGCACATGCACAAGCATATAAACACACCTCCTGAGGGTCGAGTGTGCGCAGCATGAGGTTGTAAAGGTCGTTCTCCTCCGCGTATGTGAGGAAGCTCACTCTCCAGTCTGAAGGGGGAAGCGGCAGGGGAAGGGAAAGGCAGGGGAGGGGGAAGGCAGATGGGAAAGAGAGGAGCATAAGGTTGTTAAGGTCGTTATCCTCCGCGTATGTGAGTCGTTATCCTCCGCGTATGTGAGTCGTTATCCTCCGCGTATGTGAGTCGTTATCCTCCGCGTATGTGAGTCGTTATCCTCCGCGTATGTGAGGAAGCTCACTCGCCGGTCTTATAGATGGGGTGGCAATGGGGGAAGGGAGGGGTGCGGCAGATGGGGAGCGGAGCGGGATGAGGTTATAGAAGGCCGTTCTCCTCCACGTATGTGAGAAAGCTCACTCACCGATCTGGTGGGTGGAGTGGAAACACGGGGGGAGAGAGAAGTCGGGAGGGGGAGAAGCAAGAGTTTATAGAGGCCGTACTCCTCCACGTATGTGAGAAAGCTCACTCACTCGCCGCCACACTGGTGAAAGGTGGGGCAAATGGAGCGCGGAGCAGAATCAGTCTGTCGAGCTCGTTCTTGAGTTTTCTCAATCGTCGCACGCAGATGGGAGGGGCCTGCCTGCGAGAGTGTGGGCCACGCCTTTTGAGACGTCTCGAGAGTGTGGGCCACGCCTTTTGAGACGTCTCGAGAGTGTGGGCCACGCCTTTTGAGACGTCTCGAGAGTGTGGGCCACGCCTTTTGAGACGTCTCGAAAATGTGGGCCACGCCTTTTGAGACGTCTCAAAAATGTGGGCCACGCCTAGAACATAGAGCTGCCCAAGCAGACCCCTCCCCTCCCCTCCATCTCACTCACCTCCTGGCAAGGCCAAACCCCTCCCCCCTGTCTCACCTTCCCGGCACGGAGCACTGAAGCCGTAGGCATCCCAGTCGAAGTTGAGGTGGGCACTGTTGACCTGCTGGGCCTGAGGTGATGATGACATCAAGACCCCTCTTGACTCTTGAACCGACTCAACAAGAGGCACACACACAGCACAGGAAGGACACAGGGAAAACGGGCCCACCATCGCGGCACGGAGCACTGAAGTCGTAGGCGTCCCAGTCCAACTTGAGGTGCGCGCTGTTGACCTGCTGCTGGGCCTGAGACAGGGTCAACAGCACACTACCTACCCTGTGTAGACCAGACCCGTCCCTGCATCTCACCATCTCTGCTATATGGAAATCACTTTTGAGAATTCTCATAAGTGATTTCCTGTGTAGACCAGACCCGTCCCTGCATCTCACCATCTCTGCACGGAGCACTGAAGTCATAGGCACCCCAGTCGAACTTGAGATGGGCCCTGCTGACCTGCTGCTGGGCCTGGGACAGCGCGTGCCAGACCCAAAACTGCCCAAGCATACCCCTCCCTCCCTCTCTCCATCTCACCCCTGTCTCACCTTCCCTGCACGGAGCACTGAAGTCGTAGGCGTCCCAGTCTAACTTGAGGTGGGCGGAATTGACCTGCTGGGCCTGAGACAGCGCGTGCCACGCCCAGAACTGCCGCCACGGCTGAGGAAACACCACCTGGCACGTGCGAGCCATCGCCAGCGACAGCTCCCCCATTCCCGCTTCTCTCCCTACCCCCCCCTCCACTTCCCCCACTCCCCCCGCCCTCCCTCCCCCCTCCCACTCTCCCCACTGCTCCTGCTCCTACCCATCTCACCTTCCCGGCAGGGGGCGCTGAAGTCATAAGCATCTCAGTCGAACTTGAGATGAGCAGAGTTGACCTGCTGCGCCTGGGACAGCGCGTGCCACACCCAGAACTGCCCAAGCAGACACCTCCCTCCCTCCCTCCCTCCCTCCCTCCCTCCCTCCCTCCTTCCCTCCCCCCCTTCCTCCCCCTTTCCTCCATCTCACCTTCCCGGCAGGGAGCACTGAAGTCATAAGCATCCCAGTCGAACTTGAGGTGAGCAGAGGTGACCTGCTGGGCCTGAGACAGCGCGTGCCACGCCCAGAACTGCCGCCACGGCTGAGGAAACACCACCTGGCACGTGCGAGCCATCGCCAGCGACAGCACCCCCATTCCCGCTTCCCCCCCTGCCCCTCCTACCCCTCCTGCTGCCGCCCCTGCTGCCCCTCGTGCTGCCCCTCGTGCTGCTGCTGCTGCTGCTGCTCCTCCTCCTGCTGCTGCTGCTGCTGCTCCCCCTAATAGGGTTTCTTCTGGGCGCTTAAAGCCAGTCATGATCGGCGAGTCTTCAGCCAAGAACGGTGAGTCTGGGTCTAGTGCGATCCCAAACAGCCCCGACACATGTGCCCCCGTGCTCTCCTCCTCCTCGCTACTGTCACCTCCGATACTGTCACCCCCGTTACTGTCCCCACCACCACCACCGCTGCTGCTGCTGCTGCTGCTGCTTCGCTCCCCGCCTCCCTTCTCCCCGCCTCCCTTCTCCCCGCCTCCCTTCTCCCCGCCTCCCTTCTCCCCCGTCCCATCTCCCCCATCCTCCCCCCCATAGCCCCCGTAAAACCCCCCTACGCTTGCCTCGACAGTGAAGGCGGCAGGGTTACCAGCAGCAGCAGGCGCAAGAGCAAGGGCTTTGAGCACAGGGTAGAGGCCGGGGGAGATGCGGGAGGAGGGGTCGAGGAGGAGGAGGAACTCCTTGGGGGAGGTGGGGAACCAGAGGGGGAGCGGGTCGGTGGGCTTGGCGCTGTTGCCTGATAGCTCTATTATGCGCCTTGGGCCATGGAACCAGGGGAACTCCTGGAAGGGGGAGGGAGGGGGAGAGGGGGAAGCTGAGGATGGGAAGGATGCAATACATGCCTAAGGGTTGCGGGCAGCTGCAGGCAAGCAGGCGGGCAGAAGGGCAGCGGGTCGGTGGGCTTTGCACTGTTGCCTGATAGCTCTATTATGCGCCTTGGGCCATGGAACCAGGGGAACTCCTGGGGGGGGGAATTGGGGATGGGGGGATGTGGGGGAAGCGGGGGACTGGAGGATCTGCAAATATGCCTGAGGGGTCCAGCAACAGGCAGGCAGGCAGCGGGTCGGTGGGCTTGGCGCTGTTGCCTGATAGCTCGATTATGCGCCTTGGCCCGTGGAATGGAACCAGGGGAACTCCTGGGGGGGAAGGGGGGCGGAAGAGAGGGAGGCGGATGGGGGATGACGGGGAGGGGAAGGTTTTGATTTGATATAAGCCTGAGCCTGAGGGTTGAACAGGTGCGAGAGACGAGGGCTTTAAGCACGGGGTAGAGGCCGGGGGAAAGGCGGGAGGAGGGGGAGGAGGAGGAGGAGGAGGAGGAGGAGGAGGAGGAGGAGGAGGAGGAGGAGGAGGAGGAGGAGGAGGAGGAGCAGCAGCAGCATCAGGAGGCCTCCTGAGCACCTGAGCACCTGAGCACACCTGAGCACTCCTTGCAGCACCGCTACATGTGGTAGCAACGGTGAGCTGCACCTCGTCCTCTCCGTATTTGACGTCCTGCAGTGATGTGATGTGACTGCAGCAGTGCCTGTAGCAGGTGACATCTGTAACCCTCGCTTCCTCACCTGTGCACTCCTAGCAGCAGCACTGCACGTGGTAGCAACGGTGACCTGCACTTCGTCCTCTCCGTATTTCACGTCCTGCAGTGATGTGATGTGACTGCAGCAGTGCCTGTAGCAGGTGACATCTGTAGCCCTCGCTTCCTCACCTGTGCACTCCTAGCAGCAGCACTGCACGTGGTAGCAACGGTGACCTGCACCTCGTCCTCTCCGTACTTCACGTCCTGCAGTGACTGTAGCAGCGCCTTCAGCCCCTTGCTGTCACACTCCGCCCTCACCTGTGGGAAGGGGGGCGAGGGGGAACAGGGAAGGGAACGCAAGGGTGTAAGGGAAAAGGGAGGGTCAAGTGGTGGACAGGGCAGCCAAAGTGAAATCAGGGTTGCACCTCTTCCTCTCCGTATTTCACGTCCTGCAGTGACTGTAGCAGCGCCTTCAGCCCCTTGCTGTCGCACTCCGCCCTCACCTGTGCATGGAGGGGAGGGGGAATGGGAACGGGCAATGCGAGAAAGAGGGGGGGGGGGAGGGGGGACGGAGAAAAGGGATGGGGAAGGGGAAAAGAAGGTGCAGCTGAACCCGTCTCTACCACTCACCACATCGTTGCACCAGCCTCAACCACTCACCAGAATGTGCAGCTGGAACGGCTGCGCGTTGAGCCTCTTCCGCTCATCCGCCACCACCGCCGTCGCGGCGGCCACGCGCTGCTGCACCTCCTCCCCCATGGGCGGACCCGACCACTGCACGCGCAGCCTCTCCGCGCGCCACCGCACCCCCGCGCGCCCCCCTGCCTCCCCGCCCCCCCTGCTGCGCTACCCGCATGCTTCTCCGCGCTTCCCCGCGCCGTTGCACTGGAGCCGACTTCGCCGTTCCCGCCTTTTCCTCCGCCGTTCCCGCCTTTTCCTCCGCCAGAGCCGGGAAGGTTCTGAAAGACCTCTTTTTCGTACTCCGCGGCTCGTCGCCTCGGGCCTGACCTGTCGCCTACTGCCACGTGGACAGAGCCGAAGGGATCGGAGACGACGGATAGGGAGGGCGAGCCGGGGGAGGTAGATCTAGGGGAAGATAAAATCGTAGATATGATTGCGTCGGCTGTGAACAGTAACGCGAAGAGGAAAATGGCGGCGGAGGTTGTCAGGCACTGGAGGCCGAATTGCAGGAGCGGATTGCGGCGCGAATCGCGGCGCAGCTGCGGCGACTTAAAGGAGGGCCCGCGCGCCGCGTGGCGGAGAACGGGGGACGAGCTTCCGCTTCCGCCTCCGCCGCCTCCGCCTCTCCGCGGATCGCCGGACGCTGACGTGGACGACGTGACTAGGCTGGCTCCGGGAATTGCGCTGCTGACGCCGCTTCTGGAGGGCGAAGCGGACCTCGCAGGCGACCCGCTGCTGGGTCGCAGGGCTGCCGCCTGCGACGCGTTGGCGGCGTGTGGCGACCCACTCACGCCGCGTCGCCCACTGAGTCCTCGGGAATCCATCATGCCGGTGCGACGGGCATCTGAAATCGCAGGGACTGGCTACCGAGAAAGGCTGACTGCGAACGGTCAATGCTACGGAAGGGCCAATACTAGAAGACGTCTCAAAACGGATGGTGAAGACTAAGAATTACGAATGGTGAAGAGTCAAACCACGAATGGTGCAGGGTTCATTTCTAATGCAACAAGGATAAGTGCCTGCCGGAGATGGTGCGAAATGACGGTGTACGGTAATTGCTGCGCAATGAGGTGGCAAGACTAACTGTAACCGTTGTCAACCACAACTAGTAATGCCTGTTCGGGTATGTTACGCGCATATGGTTGATAGTCGCCTCGCCACTAGTCACATACTCTCCCTCCCTCACTTGTGCCACGCAGAGCAGAACTACTAGATAGCAGCAAGAAGAACATCTTCCAAATCCAACCACCAAGCGGGCCACTTGTATCTGATCAGGGCGACTTGAAATGTGTGATAAATACGGTTGGCTGCTGTACAAGACGGCATACATGTTTTTCAGGTAGTTACAATTCGGTTCTGAGGAGTTCATGCAAGGGATGAAATCGAGAAACAGATGCCCAGGGAATCAAAGGTCAACTCGAGGCTGTTGGGGGCGAAAAAGGCTGAGGAGAACCATGGGTGTACTGGCTGGCTAAAATCATACAGATTCCGCCACGTTATAACTAGGATGTTATAAGAAAACATTGCAAAGAAATGCAAGAACTTCAGCAGCACTCCTCTATCCATCCCTGATAAGGTGCTTAGAAAGCATCTGAACCAAAGTACCACAAGAGGGCCTGAATGCCAACCAATATGAATCCTAGGTTCCTGCCTTTCACTGGCAGGTGGCCTAGGAAGGAGTTGGACAAATCTGTGCGACAAATGTGAGTTGCAAATTCCCTGTATCACACAGACCCTCTGTGAGAGTACGTCACTCTCTTGAGATGATTGCACAAGGAGCACATACAATGCAAATCTGAAAAAAACAGCAGGTGGACATAGCATAGCAGGCATTCAAAACATGTATGTTAGTACAGAGTGAACACCAAAGAGAGGCCTGATACGTGATACCAGTGAACATAACTGTGTGAGAATCAGACTCATCAGATTAAAGCAAACTCTCGAGGTTCCAACAAGCTAGAAGTCCTTCCATCAAAAGCACACATGCAGTCCCATTTGTTCCAAATCAGTGAACAAACTTCATATTGGAATAACAAATAAACAATCTTAAACCACTCTCTGTTTCACCGGCTTCTGACACATACAGCTGAATCTTACAGGTGTATACTCTTCCACATTGCTACAGCATACTTCCTTTCCGAATCCGTCCCTTCACTTTGAAAAGTGCTGGACAGTACACCCCTTTTCCGGCACCATATCACTGGCGTGCACTCTAGAAAGGGGTTTCACCAACGAAGTTGCCCGGGCGCGAGTAGTCGCACACCCAGATGCCCGAGCCATCAGGGCACTGAGAAGAGGCGCAGCCCACATGAGTGGTGTCCCGCCACACCACCTGCGTGTAGTGCCCACACATCTTGCCCTCCGCACACCCATCGGGAATGGGGCTCGGGGTCCAGTCCGCCTTTTCTTCCACCCATGACTGCACCGTGTCAAAGTACTAATTAGTTAGGTACTTAGGTTTAGGAGGCTTAGGAAGGAGAATCATAGCGAGAGTAGCGAGAGGGAGGGAATTGGCCAAAAGAGGGGCTTCAATAAAGGCATAGCATACAAGATATAGGAAATGGGAAGGCAAAAGGGTGCACCACCAGCAGTTGTTTCTAATAACTAACTAATACACTAGCAAGCTGTAGGCAGTTATACAGGATATGCAAATATACAATTCAACACACCGCTCCACGGTCCTCCTGCGGGGTCAGCCCCGCGGGTGACAGCCAGTAGAGGTTCTGCCCGAACCCCTCTGCTCCTCCGTGCTCCGGAGGGCAACCTCTGGATGTCAGGTTGGCCGCCCATTCCTGTGCTGCTGCTGCTGCTTTGTCCTCCCATGCGAGGTCGGGCGCACCCACTTCCTTCCGTGCCTTGTTGTGCTCCTCGAGAATCCCTGTGATGTCAATGCTTCTGCCGTTTCCACCATCAGCACCGCCGCTTCCACCATCAGCACCGCCGTTTCCACCATCAGCACCGCCGCTTCCACCATCAGCACCGCCGCTTCCACCATCAGCACCGCCGCTTCCACCATCAGCACCGCCACTTCTGTTGGAGTGTGAAGGGAATACACTTAAGCATTCCCGAAGGTGCAGCTACATCGCACCAGTCACTATCGAAGCAGCGCGAGCAGTAAAAGTCGGATCAGCCTATACCAAAGGCAGGAAGGTCAACAGGCGCAAAAGTCAACTGTCGCGACTGTTGACCATCTGGACCGACGATTGACTCACCATCGAGGAATGTCAACAGGCGTAACCGCACGCACGGTTACAAGCAGCGACTCGGTAACAAGAAAGGAAATGCAACAGTCAGAGTCACTGTTGTACTGCCTGTAAAACAGTTATAATAAGGGAATGTACCCCTTAGAGTACATGGCTAGTTAGGACTATTTATTTGCTTGTATTCTATCCTTTAAACCAACTTTGTCATTTACATTCACTATGATCAAGGTTCCTACTAAGACTTCCGCTACCAACTCTCATAGAAGCACTTCCTATCCTATCCAAGATCCTCACTCTAACATGGTATGAGAGCTAGTTTGGATTATAGGAACTGCCAAAAAGGGTCCCTTGACAAGGACAACCCCTTGCATAATTTACTATAAGGGCAAGCATCATGCCAGGAGCCGACTGCGGAGAAACTGGGGAGACCCCAGTACAACCTTCCACTAATGTTACTTCTACTACAACGACTGTGGACACAGCGCTCCTCGAGCAGCTGATTTCCCGCATCAGCGCACTGGAGAGCCATCAGCCAATGAGCATCGACGGCTCCAGCTACGCCCGAAGACCTCCCGATCCTCAAGGAGCTGGATCAGAAAGATCCTTCACCTTCGAAAATCGCGGAGCCCCAGGACCTGCTCAAACACAGCAAGCACATTTCGAGACAATGGCGTCAATGCAGAACAAGTTTCTGACAACATCAAAGCTCAGGACAACAAAGCCCTTCGACGGGCAAGACTTCTACACCTGGAGCTTCGAATTCGAGCTGTTAGCTCAAGGCGCTCAAATCTGGATGTACTACGACGGTTCGTATCCCTTCCCGACTAACGGCTCACCTCAGGAGAAGACGCAGTACTACAACGAATCTCTCCTGGCCTTCACCGTACTGATTCGAAACCTGTCGCCAGAAGAACAGCTAAGCATTCGCCCTTTCAAGAACGAGTGGGCACCCGCGCAACAATCCTGGGAGCACCTGCGCACCTGCCACATGGCAACAGATTCGGTGACACTCAGTCGCCTGCTTAACCAGCTGAACAACGTCAGAATGTTCCCCGGCGAAAAGGCCGGATCCTACATCAACCGCTGCAGAAATCTGAGAGACCAATTCAAGAAAAGCGGCGGAAACTTCCCTGACGACATGTTCGTGACAATCATTCTCGCTGGATTAAGCTCGGAATGGCGCCAGTGTAAATCGCTCCTTCGCACTCAAGGAACTGTCAGCGAAACCGCCCTCTGCTCGACGCTCCTATCCGAACAAAAGGAAATGGACCTGTACAACGAGAGAGGCAACAAGAAGGAGAAAATCGCTTTCTATGCACAAGCGCCACCAGACAAGAAGAGACTCTTCTGCAAGTACTGCAAAAAGACTGGACATACAATCCAAGACTGCTGGAAGTTAAACGGTAACAACAACAACCAGAAGGGAGCTGCCGCTTACCAGCAAGGAAGAACTCCAGCGCGCAATCAGACCGTGTCACCACCAGCCGTCGCAAGCACATCCCAAGCTCCGACGCGCATCCCTGCGAACACAACCGACAAAGGCAAAAGCAAGGTATTGACTTGCATGGTGCGTCGAGGTCCGCCGCGTCCCAACCGACACTACCGCTTCTTCTGCAGCTGGGAAGACATGTTCGTAGATCCACCGCAAGAGCGTCCTGAAGGGTCGGTCGAAGACGAAGAAGAAAACGACCCAACGTACGACGAACTGTCGGTCGGACGCATGGAGTACGACTGGGAAATGCCGCCTTGGATCCAGGAGTCGCCACCTGCACGCGAGGCATACGAAGACGAGGACTACACCTATAATTACGAACACGATCACGACATGGAGCATCACATCACGCCAAGACTCGCCAACCTCGCCAAAGCAAGAAAGGAGGTTAACACCTGGTACCTGGATAGCTGCTGCGGCCAGCACATGGTGTCGTCAGACACCTTCATCGTCAACAGCGAATGACTCTGCAATGAGGTGGAAATTGCTGTTGCTAACAGTCAAACCATCTACGCCAGCAGCCGCGGACAAATTCAGCTGCAGTCACGCGACACCGGTTACTGCATTCACGTCAGCGACGTCCTCGTCGTGCCCGAGCTCCGGTACAACCTTCTGACCCTCCACCAGTTGATGAAGTGCGGAGTCGGCCTGGAGACAACAGAAGACGAAATGCATTTAATATACAAGTGGACCTTCATCGGAAGGGCGACAAGTGTGGAAGGAGTCTTCGTGCTTGACTTCGAGTCGCCAAGAACCTCTGGCGACAGCGAGAACATCCTCGTTCTCGATCCACCAGGCCACCCGTCACCACCAAGGTGGAGCCATCCGAAAGAGACGGACTACCAACGGCCAGGCCCCGACGGCACGTTCCGCGCTCTTGCCGTCCCTGTCGCCTCAACCACAAAACCTGAAAATACGGAAACGCCAGCGGCAGAAGAAGAAGAAGTCACATCAGGCACGGCAATGGTAACGACTGAAGCAGCAGAGACAGAGACCGCACAGTCAACCTGGCCCTCTGTCTCACACCCTACCGGCTGGACCACAACTCAAGGCTGGGACACCGTCGACGTGCGTTGGGTCACGGAAAACACCGCTCTTGGAGAAGCCGTAGCCGAAACTGGATGGGGGAGTTTCGCCGAACAGCCCGCAGCAGAAGAAACCGAATCGGTGCAGTTACCAGAAATACCTGAGGAGGCGCCAGAAGCTAGACAGGGGGAACTGCTGACGGAATACGGACCTCGCCTGCTTCCTATTACAACTGACGGTAGGAACTACCTCCGCCTGGAGACAAGGGGAGTGGTGATCGGAGACACTCCCTTCGAAGAAGGAGAAATCGCGCTGTTCGACGATCGACACCCGCGAACCACGCCTCCGCCTCCTGAAGGACCACTGGAACTGCCAGTTACGATCGACACCGTCACCATCGGTGAGACCAGCAGGACGTACCACGGCGCAACAATCCAAGCAGCAGCAGTCCATGTCACCGTCCCCGACGAACCTGCGGACGAAACCAGAAGGGCAACAGCAGAAGAGATATTAGCACGGGAGAAGGAGCTTTACACCCGTACCAAGGGATATCGGGCCGACGGCGACATCTGGCATCAACGCATGGGTCACCCGTCAGTCGAGGTGCTCAACAACTGCATCAACGCAAAAGTTCTTGCGGAAGACGCACTACTGCTGCCTGACGGAAAACTGCTGAAGCCAAGAACCGATCTACCCAATTGCTCGGTCTGTCCGACAGCCGCGCTACGTCACACACCCTTCGCCGAGAAAATCCCTGGAGCTGAACGTTACAAGCCGCTGGAGAAAGTTTACAGCGACTTCTTGGTTCTTACGGCAAAAGGAGTCGGCGGGGAACAGTACACACTCACCTTCATCGATGCCAGCACACGCTTCGTCTGGGCCGTAAACATCAGCGACCGTTACCTCGCCTACCAGTGCTTCGAGGTTTGGCTCAGCATGGCGGAAAACCAGAGCGACAACCACAAGGTCAAAGCTTTCCAGACTGACGGGGCCCTGGAATACATGTCGGAGGACTTCAAAACCCTCTGCAAACAGAAAGGCATCAAGAGGATGATCTCGCTCCCCTACGCTCACGAGCAGCAGGGATTGGCCGAGCGAACCAACAGGAGCCTCGCGACAAAAATGCGAGCTCTCATGAAGCAGTCAGCTGTGCCAACCAAATATTGGCCCTATGCCATGGCGCATGCAGTTCGACTGCACAACATACTCTCCTCCAAAGCCCTGCCCAACAACAGTTCACCCTTCAAGGAGTGGACTGGAAAACACCCCGACACACGCATGCTGCGGGTCTTCGGATGTATGGTACAGTACCGACCCCACATAGCCCGAACCGGAAAATTTGAAGACCGTGCCCGCTGGGGCATTCACCTCGGAATCGAATCCGAATACCACGCCTGGACAATTCTGGACTTCGCCACCCACCAGCTCACGCGTTCACGTGACTGCATCTTCTACGAAAGACTGACCCTACCACTGTACCGGCAGCATCGCACTGCACAAAACGCACCAGACAACATTTTTCAGGGACAGCACAGCTACGCAAATGACGAGGACGACGTCGACGTGGCAGGAGAACAACCGGACGAGGCCGCAACAGATAACACACCCTTTGTACCCGTTACGGAGCAACTCAAGACACCCACCTTCTTCCCGACGAACACTGATTCAGGTGAAGCATCCCAAGCCCTACATGACTACGCAAGTGCGGAAATGCACTCACCCATCAACGAAGACACGGCTCGCAACTCTTCTCGTGATACCATTCGCGACATTCCTGGCGACGACGACGACGACGTGGTCGAAGTAACCAACGCAGCCGAATCCAACCTTACTGGTCTTCGCATCCTCGGCCTCGCCGTCGCCGTGCGGGGTAACCACCAACCGGCGGAGCCCACCACTGTTCGCCAAGCCCTCAGTGGGCCCGATGCCGAAAAATGGAGAGCCGCCATGGCCGTAGAAGTCGCTGCCCTTCAGCGACGAGGAACCTGGAAGCTGGTCCCACGACGACACGCGAAGGGGAGAAAAATTCTCACGGGGAAATGGGTATTCAGAATCAAAACTCTGGCGGACGGAACCATCGACAAATACAAGGCGCGATGGGTCGTCCGCGGGTTCGAGCAAACACAGTTCGTCGAATACGACCAGACCTTCGCACCTGTCGGCCGTCACACGTCTGTGCGCATTCTTCGCTGCATCGCCGCCATCAAGCAGCGCCCTCTGCGCAAAATCGACGTCTCCAACGCCTTCCTCTACGCGATCGTCGACGCTATCATCTACGTCGAACAGCCGCACGCATTCGAGGAAGACGGCGACACCATCTGCCTCCTCCAGAAGTCACTCTACGGCATCAAGCAGGCGCCGCGCCTGTGGCAACAGTACCTTCACGCCATCCTTATCGAGCTCGGATTCCAACAGCTTCCCCATGACCAAGGGATGTACCGCCTCGAATCCCGCGGCCACTTCATCCTACTCGACGCCTACGTGGACGACCTTCTCTACACCGGGGACGACTCCGAGCTGCTCGATCGCTTCGAGCGCGAGATTCAGGAGAAGCTGGAGGTCACCATCGACCACGACGTCACCCAATTCCTCGGCCTCAACGTCACACAGAGCGCCGACTCTATTCGCCTCTCTGCTGCGAAGTACGCCGAGAGCCTCGCCAAGAAATTCGGCATCCCTCCCATCGGCATCACCACCCCATTTCGCACTCCTTCTCCCAACCACACGCCGGACACCACCCCGCTCTCCCCAGCAGACCACCGCCTCTACCAGCAGCAGCTCGGTTGCCTCCTGTTCGCCGCCGTCACATGCCGCCCGGATCTATCCTACATTGCCAGCCAGCTCGCCCAGTACCTGCGCCGACCTGAAGGGGAGAACATGGCAGATCTACGTCGAGCCCTACAGTACTTCATCTCCACGCCCGACGTCGGCCTCACCTACAAGGCAAATCTAACGGCCAACATACAGCTTACTGGTTTCGTCGACGCAGATCACGCGGGGGACGCAGAAAACAGAAGGTCCCGCACAGGCTTCATTTTCAAGCTTGAGCCTGCAGGAACCATCTCCTGGAACTCGCAGAAACAGGAGCTCATCGCCCTCTCGTCAGCAGAAGCAGAGTTCATCGCAGCAAGCGCAGCAGTTCGCGAAGGACTCTACCTCACGGAACTCCTACAGGAAACGAAAACGGCGATGAACGGGTCCTTCAAGTTACTCTGCGACAACCAGAGTGCGATCAAAATCGCACACAAGCCCGGCTTCGTCAACCGCACCAAGCACATCGCTCTGCGATATTTCTTCGTCAAGGACGAAATCGACAAGGGCAAGGTCCAGCTCACCTACTGCCCAACCGACAAGATGGCAGCAGATTTTCTGACTAAGAAGCTGCCACGTCAGAAGTTTCAGTACTGCTCAGATCTGTGCGGAGTCGCTTGCAAAAGGCCACATGGCACACCTCCAGGAATGAAGGGGAGTGTTGGAGTGTGAAGGGAATACACTTAAGCATTCCCGAAGGTGCAGCTACATCGCACCAGTCACTATCGAAGCAGCGCGAGCAGTAAAAGTCGGATCAGCCTATACCAAAGGCAGGAAGGTCAACAGGCGCAAAAGTCAACTGTCGCGACTGTTGACCATCTGGACCGACGATTGACTCACCATCGAGGAATGTCAACAGGCGTAACCGCACGCACGGTTACAAGCAGCGACTCGGTAACAAGAAAGGAAATGCAACAGTCAGAGTCACTGTTGTACTGCCTGTAAAACAGTTATAATAAGGGAATGTACCCCTTAGAGTACATGGCTAGTTAGGACTATTTATTTGCTTGTATTCTATCCTTTAAACCAACTTTGTCATTTACATTCACTATGATCAAGGTTCCTACTAAGACTTCCGCTACCAACTCTCCTAGAAGCACTTCCTATCCTATCCAAGATCCTCACTCTAACAGCTTCCACCATCAGCACCGCCGCTTCCACCATCAGCACCGCCGCTTCCACCATCAGCACCGCCGCTTCCACCATCAGCACCGCCGCTTCCACCATCAGCACCGCCGCTTCCACCATCAGCACCGCCGCTTCCACCATCAGCACCGCCGCTTCCACCATCAGCAACCGCCGCTTCCACCATCTGCACCGCCGCTTCCACCATCTGCACCGCCGCTTCCACCATCTGCACCGCCGCTTCCACCATCTGCACCGCCGCTTCCACCATCTGCAACCGCCGCTTCCACCATCTGCACCGCCGCTTCCACCATCTGCACCGCCGCTTCCACCATCTGCACCGCCGTTTCCACCATCTGCACCCCCGTTTCCACCATCTACACCCCCGTTTCCACCGTCAGCACCCCCGTTTCCACCATCACCACTATCAGGGCAGCCATCCCCTTTGACACCAACGCTGTAAATGGCGATATAATCACTAATGTCACCACCAGGATAGTCACCAACGTTGTCACCTTCACTGTAGTCACCACCGTTGTCACCACCTTTGTAGTCACCACCGTCATCACCTCCATTATAGTCACCACCGTTGTCACCGCCATTATAGTCACCACCGTTGTCACCGCCATTATAGTCGCCACCGTTGTCGCCACCATTATAGTCACCACCATTATAGTCACCACCATTGTCACCGCCGTAGTCACCACCATTGTCACCACCGTAGTCACCACCATTGTCACCACCATTATAGTCACCACCGTTATCACCACCGTTATAGTCACCACCGTTATAGTCACCACCGTTCTCACCACCGTAGTCACCACCATTGTCACCACCGTAGTCACCACCATTATAGTCACCACCATTGTCACCACCGTAGTCGCCACCATTATAGTCACCACCGTTGTCACCACCATTATAGTCACCACCGTTGTCAACACCATTATAGTCACCACCGTTGTCACCACCATTGTCACCACCGTAGTCACCACCACCATTGTAGTTACCACCATTGTCACCACCGTAGTCGCCACCATTATAGTCACCACCATTATAGTCACCACCGTTGTCACCACCATTATAGTCACCACCGTTGTCACCACCATTATAGTCACCACCGCTATAGTCACCACCACTGTAATCACCACTATCACCAGCTAAGTTATTCTGTGCAGATGCGGCCATCCCCACAATCCTATGATGATTCACACCTTCATCTTCACGGCGATATTTGCTGAAACTATTCACGCCTTGCTCATTTCTGGTGCCGCCACCATTCCTCCTGTACAACTCCACGTCAGAAGCTCCAGCCTTGTGAAATTCCCCGAGCCTGTCCCCGTCAAAGTGTGACGGTGACGCCTGGGAAGACGCCATCACCTCTAGGCCGTTATTTCTCCCAGCGCCACTGCTGCGCCGCTGCTTGTGCGTTGACGTGCCACTGCTGCGGCCGCGGCCGCGCCGGCGGCGCTCGTGACTGGAAAGGTGATGGATCGCCACGTCATTGATGCTGGCTGCGCGGAATGCGTTGACAATTGCTCCTCGGCGCTGATTCGGTGCTGCATGGACGTTTCCAAGTCCGTGAGGGCCGTGATTCATGGCGTTACGCGCAGCGCGAGGAGCGCCATCATCGGTGGAGTGTTGGGCGGCGTGAGGTGCGGCGTGAGGGTCGGCGGCTGCCACGCGACTGGCAGCAGCGTGCCAATTCCACGTCGGAGTCACGTGGGAACCAGCAGCAGCACCTCTGGCCGAGTCATACACAAGAGGCTCCGATACCCTCTGCGCCACCGGCACAGCCTTGGCGTGAAAAACGCGAGGCGTGTCGCTGGGTCTATTCGTGCCGGATTCCGCCGCGTTCCACGATACAGCGTCGTCGCCTCGACGGACGAGAGCACGTCTCCATGGATGAGCCGCCACACAGGACATCGCGGAAAAGGAAAATGTCTAAATTGGTGGTCCGAAGGTTTTTCTACGGAAAGTTTGTGGTTTTGTTGCGCTAAGCGTCCAAAAACCAACGACCCGAAATCGCAAATTTCCGTATACCATTACCGTTCGTTTTCACTGGCGCCAAACAGTCACGGGAAAGTGCCTTGAACATCAGGTCTACAGTTCCACACGGTCAAGAACGATAACCTGCGGTTACGCACGGTGGCACCGAATGTCAGATGGAAGAACTGTACTCGCGAAATCAGTACAACCCCACGAACTCTAGCGAGGTTGTAAACATGGATACCTAGCTTACGGAAAATATCATATCTGAACCTGAACCACCAACCCAGGTGACGTGTTATCAAGTACAATATTTTACAAACAATCATTGTTCTTGCTGTACATTTTGAAGCAATCTACACCCTCCGTTCCGTACACGTCAGCACATCCAACCAAACTTGCCGTCCACCTAATATGCACACCCCCCGCCACCCCAGCTTTTCTGAAAGGACATAGCTTCCCCTACCCAACATTCCCCACAACGTCGATCATTCTTCCCACACAAATTCCCTCACCCAACCCATAACCTCATTCTCAATCTCTTGTTTCAAATTTCCGAACACCACTCCTCAAGTTCCTGCAAACTAGATCTGCACTTACTGGATCTGCATGTCGTTATTCTCCGCGCTCTCCGGCGTTTTTTCTACAAGTGATCTCATACTCTTCTCCCTTTTAAAACCGCTTGCCTTCATCTAGTCTAATTACCTCCTCCCTTCCTCTCGCAACCTCCTACTTCCCTTTGCAGGTCGACGATTTTCAGCGTTTCCAAGGACGACGTGCGCGCACCAAGTTGACGGTGAGGAGCATTTTCGACTGCTGCAATTATCCGTTACGTAAGGTATTATTATCCCTGGTTAGGACGACATTCATGTTCCACATGTTCCGGTTTGGGTTTAGGAACCATCTTTGCGAAGTCCTCCGATAGTTTTCACGTGCGTGAAACTGTGAGAGGTGGAGATGCTAACGGTACCTCCCACTCCCAAGTGCAGATCGGAGTCTTTCAGTCATAGCGCGGATGACAGACGTGCTAGCGATGCGAAAGCGCCGGTTCGGCAGATTTATCAGTGAAATAGGTATTTGTATTGCTGCTGAGGTAGACGTTTTTATCTAGGTATTTTTTTGTCCTGCGTGTCTTGTTCGCCGATCTGTATTGTCATAACTGCACGGTAGGGCCCTGCCTCGTGTAGTTGCATCTCTTTTTTTTTTTTTTTTTTTTGGTTGCGAAGCAACCTATTACATTCGTTATGTACATTTTTTTTTTCATCGTTATGAAAAAAAAAAAAAGCGCATCGTGGCTAAGTGATTCAATGCTGTGTATTTGCCACGACAATTTAGCACGTGCCGTACCACATTCTTTCACATTTCCTAGGTAGTTCGCCTTGACTGGTAACCTATACTTTATCGATGAAACATAAACATGACTTGCCAAAATGATGTACCGTAACTGTGAATGCGTGACCGTTTATTCGGTAATGCATATGCCGGAATATATAATGTATAGATGAAGTATAATGATGATTGAGTGCAAAATGCATAAATATACATGCATATATGACTGTGGTGAATATACATGTGCTCTGTTTATTTCGGTATAGGTCCGGTGCAGTGAAATGAATGCATGGCATGATGGAAATGCGTGACAGTTAATTGACCCAGACCTTATGCTACCGCATCCCCTGCCTAGCATGGGGGGGAAGTCGATAGCATAGTTCCTGAATCATCCAACTGTTACATGAAACAACACAACCTATGTAAACTAAAAAAATGATCAAAATCCATCAAATCCAGTTCAAGTGAACACACTCACTGAGTGGGCAAAGAACCTTCTCGGAAATGATAGCTTGACCATTTTTTTAAAATCCACAGATACGCATTGTTAATGCAATGGCAGGTGGATATGTATGAATATGCACACAGAGACACATACGCACACACGCACATACCGATATGCACACACAAAGACGAGTCACAATCAGAAAATGAACCTAAAAGAAATCTAACATAACAATGCAGTAGCATCAATCATTAACATTTCAAACAAAAATCAAACAAAATCCTTTTAATTTCCACATTAGCCTCCGAATGTTATAGCGAAGACCCTGGGAGGGAAACGGGGGGAAACGTAGTGGGAAGGGAAAGGAACGGGGCAGAAGGGGCAGAAAAAAGGACGGAGGCAGAGACACATTAGAGAACTACGATACGACGGAATTACAGGATTTGAAACGTAGGCAGGTGGGGAAGAGAAGTACAAAGGAGAATAACGAATAAAAATACCAGATGTGATAATAACCGCATAGAGGAAACGCAATAATCTGGGCAAGGAAAGAAGAAAACATAAATGAGCTCGTATATAGTAGCGTTTTGATAGATACATAAACGAGCGAAAGAGTTTGACAGAGAGAGAGAGAGAGAGAGAGAGAGAGAGAGAGAGAGAGAGAGAGAGAGAGAGAGAGAGAGAGAGAGAGAGAGAGAGAGAGAGAAGAGAGAGAGGGGGGGGGAGGGGGGGGGGGGAGAGAGAGAGAGAGAGAGA